GAAGTTGATTTGACAGCCTCTTGACCAAGCTTATCATGGAACGCATCGGGTCATTTTGAACATAGGTACCTTGTCCATAAGGATCCTGCACCAAAACGTTCGACCAACCATTTGACTCAAAGAATCCGGCAAGGCGTCTATTCTTTGATTGCGAAACGCATGTCCACGAGTAGCAAAATTGGCTCACCCTTGATGTGTTCAACCTTTTGGGACATCAGGCAATTTGATCCTCTTCAGACTATTACTTGCCCTTTCTGGTGTCCCGCTGGGGTGCATTCTTGCCACATCATGCTCGTCAATCGCCATTAGCGCCCACGCAATAACTTCCCGCGGAAAAACCCTGGCGGTGCTTCTGAGCGACGATGTACTCATGGCAGAAACATACTCCTCAGCGAGTCTAGCAGCATCACATTGGGAGAGAACCTAGTCGCGAGCCGAGGCTGCCGCTGTCATATCGGGCCCTGCAAGAACGACGGAGGCCAATGTGAGATTTCTGATGCACAGTCCAAACCGTGGGCGAGCCACGCGGTTGCAACATACCTTCTCAACATCAGCTCTGACAGGCTGCTTGCTTTCACGATCAATCATGTAGGTCACGTCTCCAGCAACCCCGCAACGACTCTCTCAGTGAAGACGTCACGCCACTACGCGCATGGCCCCACCACCTCAGGACAACGAGATCGCCTATGAAATGGCGGACTTCGAGTGCACATTGCTGTTGAAATCCACAGATGCTTCTGAAGCAAACTTGGAGACCCACAAGCTCGAACTCCTTGCGATGGAGCCGGTCCAGACGGCGCCGTGGGGACTTTGGCAGGGGATTGATTGGTGGATTCGAAAGGAACCCGTTCATCTTCCCAATAGGTATAGAACTCGCTAGTAGCGGCATCAACCTTTTGTCCAGTGGATTGCATCTTGGACTGTACTCTGCGCTTCACCCCTCTGGATGAATTCCTTCACATAGCGCAATGCTTCTTCAGCATTGAAGTCCGGCTGCATAAAGGTGTGGATGTTCTTTGCGACCATTTGATCGAATTGCGATGGAAAAATCTGCTTGACCGCGCTGCTGCTGATTTGTCCATTGCTGAGGTCGACATCACTGTCCAGGATTGGGAACCTGCCGATTGGATCACACAGGTGGAAAGTCCTGGAAACGCCATGACTAGAATCAACCTCCCTATCCGTCATAGGTCCATATTCGGCAATCTGCGAAATCATGCGGGCGTAGAGCGTTGCAAAGTTACCCCCCCAATTCAATTGCCGAAAGTGCTGAGACCATCTGCAGGTCAAACATTTGGCGAGGAAATGAAAGCCAGGACAGGTTCTCAAGTTGATCTCTTTGTCAAGTAGTTCTCTGATTGCTTGGGCTTCCACATCAGGGTTGATTGAACTCCCTGGGCTAACCATGGGGTAGATCGAATCAACATCCTTCCACCCATACCCTTGGAGCAGCTGAACGCCATAGAAAACGGCATGACCATACGCAAGACAAACCTGGTCCGGAATGTCATGTGCCTCAGCCTCTTTGTTCTTTCCCATCATGAGAATCACATCCTGCAACAAGTACTCTTTGACGCGCATCGCCGTACCAAGAATCCGACCACAGCGGTGAAGGGATTCAATCATGTGGCTCCAATCTGCAAGATTGGGCCGCATTCGGATGAAAGCATCAGGACTGCGTTCACGTTGTGTCAGGATCGAGGAGGCGGGGACGCCGCTACCCTCAACAACGTACCAACAAGTTTCCCTGCAGGCATCGAAGATTGGGTTGCTCAGGAGGCCTTTCAACAGCGGCTTGGTTTTGTCGACGCCGATGAAGTCTCTGAGGGCGGTAGGGCCCTCCGTCCAACATAATCCATGACAGGTCGAACTGCGGCACGCTAGCGGTCTCGCGTTTAACCATACACTCTTCAAGTAGATTGTCTTCTCCTACAATGCTCGCGCGGGCGCTGGATCCTTCTCCGCCCATGGCCTTTGCGCACCAAGCCCCCATAAAACGATTGCACTTTGAAATAAAGTCAATCACTCTCCCGTCCAAGGCAGACTGTTCGATCTTCGCGTACCCCCATTCACCGTCGACCATGTTCCTGAGTCCATCTGTAACGGTGCGGTAGAAGTTGGGGTCTGCTAAGGCGGGATCGTCTCTATGGTTCACGTACACAACCAAGGCCAAAAGGATCAGCGGGGAAACCCTGACTGAAGCCAATATAAGACCCATCCAGGGATTTCGAGAAGATCACCACATACCAACCTGCACTGTTCTTGCAGATCATCGTGCTTCAAGTAAATGCCTAGTTGCTTCATTGCAGCACTCATCTTGACAATGTCTGTTGTGGGCAGGGGTAATTTGGCAAGCTCTCGTAGGATCTTGTACTTTGGACCATCTTATGAAGGGTTAGGAGCATTCCAAACCAGCACAACCGCCGCTGTTCCTTTCTTCCCCTCGGGGATGTGGAACTCCGGATAGCCAGTATCTGTGTCCTGAGACGAAGCCGCCGCCATAGTTGTGTGGCCCGGGACTAACCCTGAGACCAAACACCAAGCGCGACTTGGGTCTAACCCTGTAGTCGGTTGTTTGCTGACAGATTCAACTGTGAAATCAGCGACGAGGATGTTGCTTCGAGACATTCTAATGGACACGCTGATATCAATCTTCTCACCACAATTCAAGATCTCCTTAGTGCGCCTACTCCTGTCACGCAGATTCACATCCTTAGTCACCACCTGATGCATCTCCCTACTCACTCGCAAGAACGCACGCCGTCGCTGCCGGGAACATGAACTGATCCTAACCGCACACGCACACTTGCTCTGCTTATCTTCTTCGACATGTTCCGACTGAGATAGGGCAGAAGCAGTTCTAAGATCCCATGCCACCATGTTCACGAGAGTGTTGAGACCAGTGTAACATGTCCTCCTAATCCCATATCGTGCAGCACGCACATAATCACAACATGCTTTCTGAGAATAGTCTTGGACTCTCAAATTAGTGGATCGCAGGACAAGCTTCTCAGACAGCACTCTACCATCAGGCATCGATACGCCAAAGGCGCATGAGAGACACTTCACCTCAAATTGGTGTTTGAACCCCCACATTCTGACATCATAGGTATCCTAGGGAGAATGGCCAGCTGAAAGTTTTGGTGTCCAAGGGAAAGTCTCTTAGAAATCTTGCAAAACAGAAACCATGTGGTCCAAAATGATCTCATCACATGATGCGATGCCTTCGCACACACATGATCCATGTGAGCACATTCACTCCCAGAAAACACAGGTGCCTTGGTCGTAATGTCGAAGTTTCTCACAACCCTGGCAAGATCAACTTCGTAGCCACATATGCAACTAAACTAGTTTCTTTCCATCGCATGGATGGAATGGAAATGACATTGGCCCCTGTCTGCTCGGCTATCTGCTTGAACCGAGGTCCATGCAAGTTTCGACCTCCTATCACAAAGATGTTAGGAAGTGATTTGTCCACACTAACCAAAGTGATCTTAATGCCAGCGCTGTTCTCTGGGGAAGCAATGTCGCAAAGTTCTTCAGCATCGACACATTTACCTGGGATCAAACAATCGCACAAGGTAATCTGCTGACAGCTGACAAACTCAAGATGCACATCGCCATAAAAGTCAAGTTGTGATTCAGGTTTAATCTCGCTCCATGGGGCCTGAAATGCATCGATGGCTTCAACTGAGTCAACGAGAGTGCATCGAAAACATGACTTTATCCCACAGGAAAGATTCCATCATGGCAAGCACCGACTGCTCATCTCGAAAATCGCCCTTCGACCCCACCCCCCCACCGCGACAAACTCTACAGTGTCAAGTTGGTCAACAATCGACGGAGGGAGATCGAAACGACTGACGGTACTGGTGGCAGGACAATGTCTGCCTACCGCGGGTTTCAGGGAAAGCAACCCGTCCGAGGACGGAAAAGAGGCAGTAGCGGTAATAGTTCGGGAAGGCGCAGCATTCACAGGTGTATGAAACTGAAATACCCCCCGCTCGACATAATCCGGAATGAATCTAGATATAGTTTTGTCACTAGGATCAAAATGATCCTCGACTTGTAACCATTTGCCACCTTGCAGGAACCACGATGATTGCAGAAGGCCAGCCTCAGCAGTTCGCATCATTTTGGGATCCTTGGCCACAAGAAAGCGTCCCTTCTCATGTTCACGCCATCCAGGCTTACCCGAACCCCCCGGCGCACACAGCTCTGGCGGGAGAATGGGCGTGGTGGCGCGAGCGAAATACGGCGCCCCCCCATCGGACATAGCCGGTAACTTCCACGATAAGTCGTTGGTGGTTCTAGACAGTTCAAGGGCCTGAAGTGAACGTATAAACTCATTAGTCACAATGTTGATGTTGGAAGTGACGGATTTCCATTTTCTTGCATCATCGTATCCCTTCGTATAGATATCAGCTGCCATCTTGCTGGTAATCTCATACACCAAAGCAACATGGGCAGCCTGGAATATTCCATGTAACCAAGCCACGGAGACACCATGTGTGCTCTCCAAGTACCGCATGGTCGGGCTCCGGCCGCTCCTAACCACGGAAATTATCCTCACACAAGCACAATCTAGCTTTATCAGGAGACAAAATATCCCACAAATCCATAGCTGGTAAGCCTATCGTACGGACAGCAGTGTCTGCCGCCACAATTTCAGCTTCCGGAGTACTGTGACTCACACATCCTTGCCGTTTGCTCAATCCTGCAAGGGGAAAGCGAGTGTGAGGACCCTGAAGATTAAGGCGGGCGCCTGACGTTGATCGCAAAGACTCAACACAGCCGGCAAAGTCCGCATCGGCATATAAAGCCATATGTATTGCTGACATTTCATCACCAACCCAACCAATCATCTTATCCTCTTTGGAATGTTGTATAAAAGCCATCAACGTGAACAACGCGGCGTCATCCTCCATCGTCCACTTAGTGATACGACGGGCCAGGCGGTTTACCGTACGAAGTAGGTCAAAGCGAGCAATGCGCGCAGCATGCAGGATTTTCATCAGTACACCAGCGGCATGTTTGGCGAGTTTGCCTTGTGGCTCCACAGATCCCCCTGTCTCAGGATTCGTGCCTCAGGCCGAACCCTGTGGCAGCAAACTACTCCTGGCGAAGATGGGCCTGCTGGAGATGTCGATCTTGAGCCGGCGCGAGGCCCCAAGCGGGCGCATCCTCTCATCTCGCGCAGACCTCAAACTGATGAGGCGCGAGAGGCGCCGTTGCAGTTGGAGTACCAGTATCGGAAGGGAGCAGACTACATCGTTCAGTTTCTTCGGGATCCCTGGATGGCACAGGACCCTTTTGCCGTCGCTGCCGCTGCTAGTGCGAGTTATCCGACGGCTTTGTCAGGAGCGGTTGCTGCTTTGCGAGACTTGGGTCCGGAGGCGCGTTCTTGTTTTGTTCGGCTAAGGGATGATAGATTGCTTCAGGATGAGGACATGCAATTGGATGATTCATGCGTGGACCAGAGCGCATCCAGTGAAGCCTGCAAAAGTCGCACTAGGTTGCCGCAGGAGTGTGCGCGGTTCTCCGATCAGACAGTACACGAAAAGCCGTCGGACTTGTTGGCTGACCTCGTCGAGAACTTGCCGGCAGAAGAGGCTCTCAATGAACATCAGAAATTGTTCTTGGTGCGATTTGGTGTGATCCTGGACACTGTGTTCTCGGAGGACTGACTTGGTGTGTTGCTGTTTTGAATTGTGTGCATCTAAGCCGCAAATCCTAGCTGGACTTGCTGTATGTTGCGTCAGGAGCACACCTTGCAAACGTGGTGTCTATCACATGCTCTTGCTTGGCCAGGGCGGCTCCGGTAAGACTTACGTGGCGAAATTGATTTTTCCGGTCGTCTTGTTCATCTGGCCCCCGGAGGATGGGCTAGACACCTTACGGGCGGTGGCTGCCAAAACCTCTCAGGCCAAGAACACATCCACTGCTGCTGTCACGGCGACTACCTTGCATTCGGCGGCTTGCACGCGCGTGCAGAAGCTCGCCAACCCGAAAACGTCTGCAGGGGCCAAGGAGAGTAAGCTCATTCGCAATTGGGAATCGTGTCGCGCGCGCATTATGGAAGAGATCAGCACGATTTCCGCACTGTTGTTTAACATGTTGGACCATCGCTCCATGCTGGGGCATCGTCGGTCGCATCATTTGTCCCCAGACGAGTATCACAAGACGGGCAATGCTTTCGGTCGCATTCCCATCGCGCTGCACCTTGGAGACTTTCTTGAGTTGCACCCCACTGGACAGCTTTCTGTAGTGACAAACTTGGAAGAGAAGGATGATGATGGTAATTACGTTTACAATGATGCGCCGTTGGAGGTGGCTCACGCGCAAAAGGTTTTCGGCCGGGCGCATGATGTTTTCGAGCTTCGGGGGACTATGCGTTTCGTTCCTGGTGATCCATTGGTGGAATTGCTCCAGCGCATGCGCGCAGGTTTGCCATTCCCGGAGGAGGTCTGGACCACGGTCTGGACTGCTTTCCAGGCGAGATGCGTGTCTGCTGATCAGGATGGTGCTTCAGACGAGCGGCTCCTGCAAGAAAACTTCCGTTCTGGCTACGGCACGTCGATTCACTGGAACATGCTTACTCGTATGATGAATCGTCGAACCATCTTGGACGACGGTCGTTCCCAGGTGCCTCTTGACGAGTGTATGACTATGGACACGGACGGTTGCCAAACCTCACAACACTGGCTGCACGCATGGGGCATTCCCTTGTCACGTGGGCATGGAGATTCGTTTTTCGGCGAAGGTGGACGGCAAGAGGCTTGGCGCAGGACACAGTGGCTTCGATTTTGGATTTCGAGTTTCATGAACAGGACAGAGAGGAGTACAAGCGGGCTGGCGCAGGAAAGCCTTTCAGTCCTCGGTAATTATTTGCCTTCCGGGCTTTATCTTTCCATTCGCGGGTATCATGGGAGTGAGAACTGGAAAGATTACACGCATATCGTTGAGAAGCGCGGCTTTTCTTCTGGGCGGTTGTCAAAATTATGGTCCCTTTTTGGGCACCCTAAATATTAGGCGCCGTACTATAATAGGGACCCAAAAAGGGACGTTAATTTTGACAACCACCCTTATGATGAAGTGGAGAGTCTCGCTCGGAGTTTGTATTTCACGGCGCACTTTGAGACCAAAGTGAGTACTCCAATTATGCGGTGAGACGGGTTGGTTTTCAGATCTCGCATGGCAAGTTCTTGACAAGTACGGCCTCGCAGGGACTGACCTTGCGTCGTGGTACTATCATTGACTGCGCACGGGAAGGCCAGCAGATGGATGGCGACAAATGGTGGTTGCATTTGTACGTAATGCTCTCACGTGTAACCTGCTTCAAGGATTTACTGTTGCTGCGCCCTCCTGGTAGACAGTTCCCGGAGCGAGGGCCGCCGGCTAGCACACAAGCACGTCTGCAGATTTTTTCGAATCGCGTCAATTTAAGGAGACGCAGCGCAAGGAAGCTGCTCAAGAACGCTTCGGGCGCCTGACTGGTTGTGGAGTTGCTGGCGGAGCTACTGCGTGCGTCGACTCGACCCCCCGGTGTCAACTAGGATCTGTGCTGTCGGCGACTGTTCGTTGGGGATGGAAAGTGGTGTCACACCGCCGATGCTTCGTTGCGTTGACACCGATGATCCTGGATGGAAAACGGTGCTTTGAGAAATTCCTAATTAACGACTTTTGTTAGTTCGCTTTTGTTTTCGGTGCTTGGGTTCATTGCAATAAGCTCGGTGTCGCTTACGATTGGTGCCAGTGGTACCTGGCGACCCGGGATGGAAGGGGGCGCCACTCTGCCGATGCATCGTTTTCTTGGCACTGACGATCTGGGATGGAGAGCGGCACCATGAGTAGTAATTAGTAATTACATCACTCGGAGTTGCGCGGGATGCGGTTTCTTCGGAAATCAAAAAGGACGCAGGCTGCCTGGCCTGCTGCGCCTTGTTCCTGATCGTGCTGTTGTGTGGTGTTGCGGTTTGATCATGGTCGTGCTTGGCAGATCCTAGTATCTTATGCACTTGGTCGACGCATGCTGAGGCAGACTGCTTGTGTCTGGCGCTGATTTCTGCTTTCTTCTGGTTGGAGAACTTGTTGCGTGGGTGATACATGTTGGTTTCAATTTTCAGTGGCTCGAGTGGTGTAGTATCCACGTAGCATCTCGTGGGATGGAAGGTATGGACTTCACTGGCGAGGAGGCGGTGGCTTGAGGGTTGCTTCATGAGACCGGTCACTCGACTCGGGACTCGGAAACGAAGAGCGAGGAGTGAAGGTAGTCCTGCGCAGCAGAGTAGCTCTTGGGATGAGAACCAGGAGGAGGATCAGCAGGAGTCACCTGCGGGGGTGAACACGTGGGAGGGCGCATGGAAAAGTCACACGAGGTTGCCGCGTGAGTGTGCGCGGTTCGACGAGCAGACAGTATATGAAAAGCCGTCACACTTGTTATCCGACCTCATCCAGAACTTGCCGCCGCGGGAGGCTCTCAATGAAGATCAGAAATTGTTCTTCTTGAGATTTGATGTGATCCTGGACAAGGTGCTCTTGGAGGACTGCGTTGGTGTCTTGTTGTTGTAGATTGTAGCCACGCAAGCTGCAATTCGTAGCTGGACTTGTATCATGTCGTGTCAGGAGCAAACCAAGGAATGACCAACGCGGCGTCTACCACATGCTTCTGCTCGGCCAGAGCGGTTCCGGCAGGACCCATGCGGCGCAGCAGGTGATCTTTCCGATCGTCTTGTTTATCTGGCCCCGGGCGGCTAGGTGAGAGACCTTACGGGCGGCGGCCGCCAAAAACTCTCAGGCCAAGAACACATCCACTGCTGCTGTCACGGCGACTACCTTGCACGCGGCGGCTTGCACGCGCGCGCAGAAGCTCACCAACCTCAAAATGTCTGCAGGGGCCCAGGAGAGTAGGCTCGTACGCAATTGGAAATCGTATCGCGTGCTCACCATGGAAGAGATCAGTATGATTTCTGCGTCGATGTTCAACATGTTGGGTTTTCGCTCCATGCTGGGGCATCGTCGTCAGTCGCATCATTTGTCCCCAGACGAGTATCAAAAGACGGGCAATGCCTTCGGTTGCATTCCTATCGCGCTGTACCTTGGAGACTTTAGTTGCGCCCTACTGGACAGCTTTCTCTAGTGACAAACTTGGAAGAGACGGATGATGAGGGTAATTATGTTTACAATGATGCGCCGTTGGAGGTGGCGCGCGCGCAAAAGCTTTTCGGCCGGGCGCATGATGTTTTCGAGCTTCGGGGGACTATGCGTTTCGTTCCTGGTGATCCATTGGTGGAATTGCTCCAGCGCATGCGCGCAGGTTTGCCATTCCCGGAGGAGGTCTGGACCACGGTCTGGACTGCTTTCCAGGCGAGACGCGTGTCTGCTGGTCAGGATGGTGCTTCAGACGAGCGGCTCCTGCAAGAAAACTTCCGTTCTGGCTACGGCACGTCGATTCACTGGAACACGCTTACTCGTATGATGAGTCGTCGAGCCATCTTGGACGCTGCTCATTCCCAGGTGCCTCTTGTGATGTTGCAGCGCAGTGCGCGGACGAGTGTATGACTATGGACACGGACGCCACTCGTCGGTTTCTGAACGTCGCCAATCCTCACAACACTGGCTGCACGCGTGGGATATTCCCTTGTCACGTGGGCATGGAGATTCGTTTTTTGGCGAAGGTGGACGGCAAGAAGTGCTTGGCGCAGGACACAGTGGCCACGATTCTGGATTTCGAGTTTCATGAACAGGACAGAGAGGAGCACAAGCGGATTGGCTCTGGAAAGCCTTTCAATCCTCGGAGCTTGCCTTCCCGACTTTAGCTTTCCATTCGCGGGTATCAAGGGAATGAGCACATGGAGAGACTTCATGCAAATCTTGGAGGAACGGGGCTATCCTACTGATGAATTGGAGAGTCTCGCTCGGAGCTTGTATTTCATGGCGCCCTTTGAGACCACACTGAAGAACTCTGCGCATGTGGTGAGGCGGGTTGGTTTTCAGATTTCGCTGGCAAGTTCATGACAAGTACGGCCTCGCAGGGACTGACCTTGCGTCATGGTACTGTCATTGATTGTGTACGGGACGGCTATCACATGGATGATGACACTTGGTGGTTGCATTTGTGCGTAATGCTCTCGCGTGTGACCTGCTTCAAGGCTGTTGCTGCGCCCTCCTGGTAGACAGTTCTTGGAGCGAGGACCGCCGGCCAGCATACGAAGATGCCTTCAGGTGTTTTCGAATCGTGACAGTGTGTGGCGACGCGCTGCGGGCAAGCTGCTGAAGAACGCTTCGGGCGCCTGACCGGTTGCGGAGCAGCTGGTGGACCTACTGCATGCGTCGATGTGACCCTTCGGCGGCAACTAGAGTCTGTGCTGGTGGCGACTGCCCGTTCGGGATGGAAAGCGGCGGTACACCGTCGATGCATTCTTTTCTTGGCACGATCTGGGACGGAGAGCGGTGCCACGAGCAGTTAGTAATTCAAATACGGAGAGGGGTGTGCGACGCTATTTTGTTTGGGCGTCAAAAGGATGCAAGCTGTCTGCTGTCGCTTGTTTGTTATTGTGCTGTCGCGCGGTGTTGTGGTTTGAGCATGGTCGTGCTTGGCAGGCCCTGGCATCTGATGCACTTGCTCGATGCATGGCGAGGCAGACTGCTTGCGTTGCGCGTTGATTTCTGCTTTCTTCTGGTTCCATGAGTTCCATGTTTGTTGCGTGGGCGATGCATGTTGGTTAGATTTCCCAGTGGTTCGAGCGGCGTAGTATCCGTGTGGCATCTCGTGAGATGGAATGTGTGGATTTCAGCGGCGAGGAAGCGATGTTTGGCGAGTTGCTTCATGGGACTGGTCACGCGAGCAGGAAACGAAAAGCGTGGCGTGATGGCAGTCTCACGCAGCTGAGGTCGAGGAGCTGGTGTCAGAAGTTACCCAAAAAAGTTTTTTCTGGGATGAGAAGGGTGATGAGGAATGGCAGGAGCCACCTGCGGAGGTGAACACGCGGGAGGGCGCACGCAAAAGTCACACGGGGTTGCCGCGCGAGTGTGCGCGGTTCGACGAGCAGACAGTATATGAAAAGCCATCACACTTGTCACCCAACCTCATCCAGAACTTGCCGCCGCGGGAGGCTCTCAATGAAGATCAGAAATTGTTCTTCTTGAGATTTGGTGTGATCCTGGACAAGGTGCTCTTGGAGGACTGTTGGTGTCTTGCTGTTGCGGATTGTAGTCACGCAAGCTGCAATTCGTAGCTGGACTTGCATCATGTCGTGTCAGGAGCAAACCAAGGAGCCTGGCCAACGCGGTGTCTACCACAGACTTCTGCTCGGCCAGAGCAGTTCCGGCAGGACTTATGCGGCGCAGAAGGTGATCTTTCCGATCGGCTTGTTTTTCTGGCCCCCGGAGGATGGGCGAAAAACTTTACGGGCGGTGGCTCCCACAAGACTGCAAGCTGAAATCGTATCCACTGCCTCCGTTACGGCGACTACAACGCACGCAGCGGCGTGCATGAATGAGCAGGAGCTCACCAACGATAACATGATTGCAGGGATCAAGGAGCGCAAGCTCGTTCGCAAGCGGCGATCCTGTCGCGTGCTGATTATGGATGAGATCACCATGGCTTCTGCGTCGCTGTTCAGTATGTTGAATTTTCGTTCCACGCTGGGGCGTCGCAAGTCGCATCATTTGTCCTCAGACGAGTATCACAAGACGGGAAATGCTTTCGGCCGTATTCCTATCGCGCTGTACCTCGGAGACCTTTTGGTGTCGTGCCCCACCACGGAGCTTTCTCTGGCGACGGATTTAGGAGACAAGAACAAGCACGGTCATTTCGTTCACAATGACGTGTCGTTGGAGGCAGCGCAGGCGACGAAAGTCTTTGACGAGGCACCGGACGTGTTCGAGCTTCGTGAGAGCACACGTTGCACGCCGGGGGATCCTCTGTTGGAGTTCCTCGATTGTACGCGCGCGGGTTGGCCCTTTCCGAGGGAGCTCTGGAGCGCCTTCCAAGCAAGATGGGTGCCAGAAATGCCTCCAGGCTTTCCAGATCCGCGATTGGCCAATGAATGTTATCGTTCCGACTACACGGTGGCACTTCAGTGGGTCACGCTCACTCGTTTGATGAATCTCGCCTCCAGGCGCCTCTTGCGACACTGCAGTGTACAGATGAGTCTACCACAATGGATGCGACTGCGGCGCGAGGGTTCTGAGTTTGCCCAATCCTTACCTAACGGGCTGCACGCACGGCTTGTTTCCTTGTCACATCGGAATGGAGATCCGTCTTTTGATGCAGTTGAACGCTGAGCGTGGCTTGGAGCGGCACACCGCGGCGACGATCTTGGATTTGAAATTCCAGGAAGAGGACTGGCAGCAGTTCCGTCGAACTCCTATAGGCGGCTCCTTCTGGCCTCGTCATCCTCCTTCTCATCTCTGTCTTTCAATTCACGGTTGGGGAGGAAATGAGAACTGGATGGACTGCAAGCACTTCCTCGATCATAGCGACTATTCCCTCGAAGAAATAGCGATTCGCGCCCGGAGTGTTATATGTCACGTCGCCCTGCAAGGCCGAATTCAGCTTGTTTCATCATGTGGCGCAGCGGCGTGGCTTTCCGTGACATTCAGTGAATCGCAGGGACTGACTTTGCGTCAGGGCACCGTCATAGACTGTTCACGCGAGTTCACCGGGCTAGATGATCATGGCTGGTGGTTGCGCTTGTATGGGATCTTCTCACGCTTGACTTCCTTCCAGGACTTCCTGTTGCTGCGACCTCCCTCTAAATATGTATTGGGAGGAGGGCCGCCTGTTGACTTGCAGAAATGCCTGCTGCTGTCTCTCGACGTGGTCTCCAGGCGTTGCTGCACGGCGCATCCTGAGCTGCAGGGTTACGTTGTACTGGGCCGGGTGGGCGCAGGAGGTTTGTTCATTTTCACGTTGTCCTTGCAAGAGGGTCTTTTTCCGGCAGGCAGGCGTCCTCTGTTGGCTGCGAACATCAACGCGGCCACGCCTTCGTTCTGCCAAGCATTAGCAACGGCTCTGGCGTTGAGCAATTGACGAACGACCTCTGTGTGACTTCCCACACACGCCAGCATAAGCGGCGTCATGCCCTCAGCGTCCTAAGACCACGCGTGAGCCCGAGATGCAACAAACCTCTAACTCCCGAGTGGCCCGAGCCGGAGGCTACCATTGACGCCGACAGACCGTCCCAGGCATGGAACTCGAGGTCGGCGCCTTTCGAAGCAGCAGACTCGCAACTTTCGCATCACCACTCTGACACGCAATCTTCAACGCCGCGCCAGACGATCCAAGAAATCAATTTCAGCGTCAGAATCGATAAGTAGCGCTGCGACTTCTGCCTGGCGGCGCAGACATGCCAGCATCAGCATACTAGTGTTCAGATACCAGCACGCTACTTCATTGGCATTCACACCAGAGCCCGACAAACAGCGGACCGCGTTGATCTGACCCAACCAAACTGCTCGCGCGAGGTCGTCCCGCACCATGTCCAGCATTAAACTCGAGCCAACCATTCGCGGTCATGATGTTGATTGGAATTTCGGACCTCCTCGAAGGATTCCTATCCAAATCTTGTTCAGAAATCAAATCTTGCGCGCTGCCTGTGTCCCCAATCCATTCAATGGCAATTGCGGGGCTTTGCTTGTTGCATCTCACAGGACAGGACACTGTTTGCGTTTAGCTCTTACACCGGATTCGCTCTGGATGACTGAAGCTCTAAGCATCCTGGCGGCTGCGGCGCTTCCTTGATTGATTGTTCACAGGGCCTTGGTCAATGGCTGACAGGAAACTCATGTTGAAACTCTCTTGGTTTGTCCACTACCGGAACAAGTCTGATGACTGATTCACAAGAATCAAACTGCAGCTGGACTAGAAGGCTTCTCACCTTTGCCTGAACCCTTGGAGCCTTTGGAACCCTTGCTTGACTTTAAGCTTCGGGAACTTTTGGAGCTTCTAGAGCTAGACTTGGACTTCTTGCGATCCTTCTTCTTCTCTTTCTTCTGCTTTTTGCTTTTCCTACCTCTGCTACTACCCCCAGATCTTTGTGGACAAACCTACATTGGTCGCCTCGGTCGCACTTGCCGATCTTGTGAAACTTACACTCCTGTTTACTCTTGTCCTCTGCCATTAGGTGTGTTGCTACGTCCTCGCTGCCGGGGCATCTCGCGCTTGCGCTTGCATTAATCCTTGGCACAGGATCCGTTCCTGATGAATGAGATGCAGAAACCTTCGGGAACACAGGTTGGAGCAGCGGTCGTTGGCTGACCTGCTGTTTGCGCAGCAATCCGTTCCCGGTTGCGCTCAAGACGCTTGCGGTTAACATGACTACTTGCTGCATCTTACAGGAACTTGTATGACTTTTCAACTGAGCGGTCAGGAGCTCTCTCGTAGATATTGATGTCAAGCTGTAACGCCCTACACTGCTTCACCTGTCTGTGAAACAACGGTTCGGAAAAGGTATCATCTGACGACTTTTGAATACCTGACAATTCGGTCTCCCAGTTCCTTAGGAACGTGACGAGATTCTCGTTGTTCAATGAAACGGCCAAAAGGTCTTCAAGGTCACAAACAGAACCACACAATGCATTTGTGGCAAAATGATCATCCAACTTGATGAGGACTTGCCTACCTCGAACAGGCCACCCGGCGTTCGCCTCCTTTTCCTGGAAGGTGTCCATCTGCCTAGCGAAATCGCCTTCCAACACATCAGTGATAGCAGATAGGACTTTGGCATCAAGGGTGACGAAACGTTCCGGATCGCGAAGCTGCTCCCCTGCGCTAGCTTTGTCCCACACTTTGGAGAGCCACTGAAAGGCCATGTCAGGTTTATCTGAGGCTTCCCTGACACAAATGTGCCAGTTGCGGTAGTGCTCAAGTAGAGGGCATTTGGGAAAGACTATCTTTGAGCCTCTTTAGCCTTGTTTCTGAGTTTTTCCCCATAGTACCCTCATCATCAGACCTCTTGTCCTTCGTATAACTTTTCTTCATGTGCTTGAGTAGGGCCTTGATCATTTCTTTACCTACTGGAGAGGAATCTGACGACGAAGAAGAAGAGGATGAGTCACGTTTCTTCTTCTTTCTCTTTTAGTCCTTCTTGAACTGCTTTTCTTTCTTGGGCTTGTCATCGTCATCATCATCATCACCATCATCAGGAAGCCCGCCATCTTGTTGAACCTGATCTAAACCTGGAGGCGTATGTATGGGAATACTATGAACCCCTGCTGCAGCTTCATTTGGAGTTTCCCTCCCAGGGCTCCGTCCATAGACAGTAGCCGGCGAGATATCTGGGGTTCTAGCCTGAAAATGCAAGGGTCGCTCACTAGCAACATCATGACGTGAAGGAAGACTTGCTGTGGGCGCAGGTGCATCTAACTGTGCACGGAATTCGTCCATCATGGACTTCATCCCTTGGAGCTCACGTTGCATTGCTTCGTCCTTAGCTCGCATTTCAGCTTCCATGTGGCGCTTGACAGCGTCCGCTCTAGCAAGCTCCTCCTGAGCTTGCTGCTGTGCTTTCAACAGGTTGACCTGCAAGTCGTAAGTCTATGGTAATGGCTTCATCAAGCTTTTGCTGGCCAAAACCCATTCTAGCAGCTGGTTGATGACGGTTATGTTGGACTTTCCAAGCTCTGACCCGAGCCTCACAAATTCAGCTTCTGGGTTTGCCAAGATGACACGTTTCTGCTCCTGATATTGCGTATCCTTTCGGGCAATGATTTCCCCGTGCCTAGCCTCAGCTATGGCGGCCACTTCGGCGCTTCCATCCAGGGAAACATGTAAGTCTTGTTGAATATTCTGCTGATCATATCCCACTTGAAAACAGGCCCGTGCGGCGCAGCATTTGCGCTATCCACGGCTGCAGTTACAGACATATGATCTGGCACAGGACGATTGACAGCATCAAGTCTTGCAAGGCCTCAGGTGTGATTCTATGGAACTACTGGAGCCTGCCTCTCCTGAGGGACGACCGGCACCAACGAGGCGTCCACTGCGGTGGCACCTGTTGCAATGGCGTCTCCTGTTCTAAGAGCGGGCATTGTTCCCTCAGGATTGAAAGATGTAGCACTGGGATTCATGACGAGGTCTAACCGGGGAGTCTACGGCTTGAGCCAACGCGTAGTACCAAGAGTCACTTGTAGCTTCAACATGAAGACTGCATGACGTTTGATTTGGGGCTGGCTCGTGGCTTGCAACTGAAGCTCTGGCAGCCGTATAACAAATATTATAGGTACACGAATGCAAGTGCTGCTGTGTCTTCTTTTTCGCAGGCCGGAATGGTCTGTCCGGACAAGTCTCTTTGGACCTCATGCAGAGCAGCTCATCATTGCGTCAATCGCTGCTATGAGGTTCAGGTCTCGAGCTGAGCCCTGGACAAGTCTGACAATCGATGAAACCACCTGTCGCGTCTCAACTTTGGCAGTCGCATTGCTGCCGCAAGTCCTTGGCTTACCTCTGGATGCGTTGCTGCACGCAAAAGCGCTGCGTGAACTGCTTCAGGGGGGAAGTCCTACCAAAGCCGGCCAGCAGCTTTAAAGGGAAAAACTCAGCAATGCAGCTTGCCTCGCCGCTCTCAGACACACCCTGCAGTGTAAGCCCACAACGAAAACTGTGCATGTCTGGCAGCACTGCTAGAAAGCATTAACACATCTGGAGCCACAACTCACTCACACCAGCTTTCTTGCACTTGTTTGTCAGATTCTTGGCAAAGCACCTTGAGCGCGGCGGCTAAGAAATCGATGTTTTCGTCTGTGTCGAGCAGCTCCTGAGCATATGGTGTGGTGGATTCCAATCTGCTAGCCAGTCCACATCTGCTTCGACTTGCAATTCAAGCTACCATCTGGCCAACCAATGGCGAACTGCCATTTGATACCTAACAAACTCCCACACCTAAACCTCAATTGATGACAGTTCCCTGTGTTCCTCGTCCGGGTTCAGCCACCACTCCTCTGGCCTGCCCGTTGCAGAACTGCCAAGGCAGGCCGTGCCACAGCACTATCAATGCTCACATGCGCAAAGAGGCACTATTTGTTCCTAGCCAGCAGCTTTTTGTAGCTTGGGACTCGTGGCCTGGCTTCCACCAGTGGTGTCGCCATGCATCGAGCTACCGCTTCGTGCACCTCACATGAAAGCTTTCAGCCCTCTTGTCCTTCTTGGCATCTTGGCATGTTGCGAGTTCAACTGGAGCGAGGAAGCAGCCCGCTGTTCTCTGTCTCCAGGTGTATCCAGCCACTGGTTCAACGACAGGGACCTCAAAACAAAACAAGCAAACACACAGAGCTAGAGTGGTCATTGGGTGGTTCATGCTTTCAGCTTCACTTCCTGGCTAAGCAGCCGACCAAGGGGATCTGCACTCAACCTGGGATCTCGCAAGCAGAGTGCATGTGCAGTACAAGCTTGCCACGCTTTTTTTATTCCAGGAGCTGCATGAAACCAGTGGCGTGGAACGGCCAGCACATCCTGCACTGAAAAGCTTCTGCCAGAATCTATACCTCTACGCCTGAGTCCCTGACACCCGGTCTCAAAACCGCGCGCACACCAGCACACCTACCGCGTGAACATGCATGAACCTGCCAAGAAAAACGAGACAACCAGCTCAGAGCACCCTGGCGGTGGCTCGGCACTGAAGGGATCCACGTCAGTGAAGGTGGAAGAGTCCTGGCTTCCACGTAAGAAAGCAAAGCCAGCGGAGACACCGCTTTGCAACCCCAAGCGTCTGCCTCATACGGAAGGCGATGTGGACCGAGCCATGTACTCCCTGGTGAGAAGAGAAGCCTTACCATCGCCGAGCTTGCATGGTCGCAACGAAACAATGCCACGCATAAACAAAATCTACATCTGATGCTGTCGGCGTGCCAGAGCTTTTCTCCGGCCACTTGTGCAACCAGGTTTTGCCCATATGCATCTTGATGGCACCTGCTGCGGACTGCTGCGGCACGGGAAGGGCAGAGACCAAATCTTGAACAGCACAGTCGAATGCTTTCCTTTCGCAGACCAAGCTGTTGATGAACGAAAGCTTTCACACCCTTCAGGTGCGGGCGCTCACTAACTCAAACTGGAAAGAAGCCCGTGGTCTCCATCCAGTGGTGCATTAACTGCTCGCTTTGGATGGGATTTCCCATCTGGAGTTGATTCGACGCCTGACAACCTAGCACGTGGGTTTAGTTTAGTCCGGAATGCACTTTCTCACAATATTTTCACCGAGTCGGCTTGTTGCTGTCTGTTCATGGTTGATCTTGCAAGACATCTGGCCTACGGAGCGCGCATCACTGACGCGGGAACGTCTTTCTGCCTGTCGACAACACCTCAGCAACAAACACATGAAAGGCGCGCTTGCAGACTTGCTTGTCCCAGCAAGTCAAACATCGAGAGATGAGCAACAACTGCCCTTGCTGTGCTGTTTTCTGTGAATACTTGTTCCGGAATACATTTGATTTCTTGTTAGAGCTCTGGGAGGCCCTCGGAGGCTCTGGGGGGGGCCCCGCCGGAAGGTCCAAAAAAATATGAAAAATACGTGACACCAAAAGAGAAGAGAAAGTCCGAAAATTCTCCAGGATGGGAAGATATGGGTCAAGACGTGCTTGGCTAAAGCCCTTCAGCCAAAATCGTGCCAAACAAAGTCACACAAGGCCTCCCCTTGTCTTCCTACCTTCCGTCAAGGCTCGGGTGATCTTGGACTTGATCCAGGGCTGAAACTGAATCCGGATCTGCTAGCTGATGTGGGGCTCATGCCCTTAGCTTCAAGAAACGCGTTGCAAGAGCATCATGGCAAGTCGGCAACACTGCCATCTGCGTCAGCGATTGATGTTGTAGCAAAGTCGCCGCAGAAGGTGACTTCGGGGACTGAGGTTCGTAGGGATTCTCCTCAACTCATCATCTTGGAAATAGTGAAGTAAGTGCGTACTTTGCATCAAGTGCTCAGAAGTCTGGAGTAGTCAGAGGGGTGTCAGGCAACAGCTCCTCATCGTCAGGAGGATACCCGAAGTAGTCGGTGCCATAACACTCAATCCAGCACACTTCGCACAAGCCTTGGCTGACGGATCTGAAAGTGCAAACATGGTACCTGTAGTTTCCAAGATAGACTCCCAAATACTGTAATCCTTTATATAGGGACCTCCAAGATGGTACCCCAATTTTGGGAAACCCCCACCATATGGAAGGTATGAACATCCTGCTGCAACAAAGGTGCAGCCATGGTGGTGGCCTTTGGTGGCAGTGAGCTTCTCCAGCAGAGCAGCCTCTAAGCCGCACCAGGAGAAGCTGAGAGGTCTGAAGCACTGAGCCCCTAAAGCTGCCTTGACTGTCATCTCGTCCCCCCCTTTCTCCAACGAGATTGTGATGATGCCCTGCTTCTTACCTGCAGTGGTCAACTTACAAAGCAGAGCCAAGAGATCTCATCGGGCCTGGTCCCATCACCTTCCCAGTCGTACTCTGAAAGTCCTCGAAACATCACTGCAGAAGCCGATGGAAATTTCTGCTGTGAGATGCTCGGAAGACCATATGCGAGCGAGAAGCGTCTTTGAGAAGGGAGGCCTTTGACAGCTCCTTCGGAGCCAGGATTTCCAAATTGTACGTGCTGTCTTATGCCGCGTCAAAATGCAGAGGATGTTCAGTTCTTCCGTTCGCTCTCTATCTCCCTCTCTGGCTGCTTACCTCTTGCCACAAACTGCGTCGAGTTGCTGAAAAAAGTTGGCACTTGAGCCGGACGCGGTCTCCGATTGCAAAGCCACAGAGACGTGGATCGTCTTTGGTTGCCTCCCGCTGTTCAATCCAGTGCGACTCTTCCCGGAGAACCTGGTAGAACTCCTCACGCACTGAGGAAGGAGTTCGACAAATACTGCCTGTTATCACTCCTCCTGTATCACCTTCATAGATTTCACTGCTGCTTCGGTCGTTTCGTGCTATGGCGCCTATAGCAATCGCAGCAGTGGCACCACAAGCAACAAAGTGGAAGTGCAGGTGAAAGAGGTGTTGGTGGTGACGGTAGTGGTGGTGGCGGCGGCGGCAGGGGCGGTGGCAGAGGCCGTGGCCATGGCGTCGGCGTCAGTGGTCGGCGATCGGCGGTCGGCGGTCGGCGGTCGGCGTCGGCGATAGCGGTGGGCGGTGGGCAGCGGCAGTGGTGGCGTTTGGGGGGGGGGGGGGGGGGNNGGGGAGGTGGTGCCAAGCGGCGGTGGGCTGTAGCGGTGGTCAAGGACTGGCCGGTCACAGCAGGGGCAGAGGCGGCATTGCAAGCAGTTCAGCATTCGGAGTTGTTGGAATGCCGCTCCGCGAAGTCGATGCTGCCCGAGTTGTCAGCATCGAAGCAGCGAAGCACACCATCGAGCTCAGCGGGCGAGAGTGGACAGGCAAGGCGCCTGCAGTTCCAGTTTACTCGTCATCGAAACAACCAAGAGCGCTTCTTTCTGGAGTCAAACAGTTCACGGATTCACTGACTGGATTCTAGCCTCAAGGCAGCCGCCATCTCCCCTCTGGTCAGGATCCCATCACCATTCTGGTCCAGGGCATGACACTACACACTCTTCCATTGGCGGCGATGCGAGACCTGGAATGGCGAATTCTGCAGACCCGACCTGGTCGATCTCGTGGAAGAGCTCGATCTCTGAGAGGCCTTGGTCCTGCACCGCCCTGTTTAACTCCCTGCTCGTCAACAAAACCCATTACCCAAACAAATCCCTTAGAATCTTTGGCTCCTCAATGTGCTGGATCAAGCCTCAATGTCATAGCAGACATGGTGCATAGCTCCAGTGCTTGAGAGTGGCACTTGCATTGGTGCTGGTAGCCGGCATTACTTGTGGCTCAGTGCCATCAAATGCTATCAAGCAACTTGCAAGAGCTTGCTTCAAAGGAGACTTCGCCTTCAGCTCTTCCAGCTTCCTCTGCACAGGTCGTGTCACGTTCAACTGCACTTGCAGCGCAAATAATTCTGAAGGGCCATGCTCAGCCAAGCAACTCTTGCCGAGCTGCCTGTAGCTTCTCCGCCTTGCCACCACAACTACTCACCATGCGGACCCTTCATGAACTGGGGCTTCTATGGGTTTGGCTTCATGGACTTGAGGTCCCTGTTGTTGCTTTGTCTGCCCAACCGGTACTGCGCTGAGCTTCAGCAACGCAGAATCCTTCAAGCCTCAGTTGCACAGAGCGCAACCTCTACCATGTAATCACTGCAACCGTCTACCCAGCAAAATGTTGGGAGCACGCGAAAGATTGCAACATTCGGCCACTATCAGCTCAACATCTGACGCAACAGCTTTGACTCATCAGCTCTAGCAGCTAAGGAACCTGCCCCACAAGCGCAGGGGTGAGTAGCAAAATGGAAGACATGACAGCAATGTTTTCGGCTAGCTGCTACCTCTGGTCATGCACAAAATAGCCAGAACATCTTCCACTTGACGACACGTGGACACCGGCACCGCATTTGATCGCATCAGGCTACTGATGAGAATGATGTGACTCGTGGTCTTAGAATCAACATCGACTTGTTGGACAAACGGGACTCATGCTTCAGGTGAACCAACACGCAGGGTCGGCCAGCAAATCTGGAAGACCCAAACCCATCAGCTTGAACCTCACCCCAAAGCTCTGCCTGGATCTCGCCAGGCGTTTTCTGATCCCTCCTTCGCTGGGCTTTCTCCCTCGGATGCTGCGCAGTCTTGAACTCAATTCTTAAGCATGTGGACCACGGCTCGTGAAAGGCGCTTAGGAAGCTGCAAATGAATGATCTCCATCTTCTGGGTTTGTTCTCCAATAAACCTCCTTTTAGGTCCGTACCAGCGAAACCATCATTTCCTCTTAATCAGTCCAGCTCAATGCTGACAGATTGAGATACATGCGAAACGAAGGCTAAACAACGACCCCAGTAGTGACTTGACTGCGTCCACTGCAGGCTCAGGTCGCTAGGCGGCTACGCTGAATGGCTGGATCCAAGGCACAGCTGCTTCTGAGCTTTCTGCGCGAACCTTTTGCAACAAATGCCGATGCTGCTACTGCCATGAAGGGAGGAGGTGCAAATGTATGGCTATGTGCATCTGCTCTGCTGAGACTTCTTGATGTTGCACGGCGGATCCCCCTCGTAGCCCTTCTCTTTCCAACAAGCATCGCAGCCATCTTCGTATCCCTCAGGCACACGGGCGACTGGGAACTAATTCACGGTTAGACATTGCAAGGGCAATGAAAACCAAAATGGCATGCTGTGCCGCTGTGAGACACCACCGGCTAACAGGAGGGTTGTGATGACGCCACCGCCTAGATGCGAGGCAACTGTCAGGATCTACAACACCTCAAAAAGACTGATAAGCTGAGGACCGAGCAATCTGCACAGATTTGCTTCTTTGGTCCTCCTGTAGAGGCTCGTCTTCTACCCTGCGCCTGTCATCTGCCAGGTGAAGTTTGCATGGGAAGCCTGGACGATTCTCGTGCAGCAGCCTTGAGGAGAGCCGCCACCGCTTGGTCAGACAGAGGTTGCTCTTCCTGCGCATCTGCAGCGGCTGCTTTCGCTGCGTCCGCCATTGGAGCTCCGCCAGAACCGCTGACAACATGCAGTGTTGCTTCTATACCGAACATTGCCACCATAAACTGGCTCACCACAGATCAGAGCAGGGGCTCCTCAAAGTCCATGTAGTTTTGCTTTTTGATCTGTTATAGGCTGAGACAAGCTCATGATTCCTCAATCATTCTTCAAGGCTGGAAATGGCAACGCAACAAATGCACTCTCACAACACAGGTCCGTCAAGCATGCCAAACGCATTGCAGGCTGCAGGCCCAAAGCGTATCAGGAGCACGGTGTTCGGGCCCCCTGGCTGCCTCATGCATGTACCGCTTGGACAGCTGCCAAAAGGTCTTCAGTGCCTGTAAAACAGAAATAGTCGAGGCCAGGGCCAAGCCAAAGCGTTGGGGCCCCTGGGACAGAGATCGGAACCTTCTCCTCAACTCACTTCAGGTGGCAACGCATGGCGTTCCCCGACCTGTCATTGCACCATTTCACCGCCAGGGGTCCTTCGGCAGAAGCTGGCTGAAGTCTGCAGCAGCACGGTTGCAGTCGCTCAGGTCTTTGAACAATGCCTCCCGTCAAGGACATATTTTCCTGATGTGGCACGGTCGAGCGGGTCACAAACTCAATGTTGCGACTCGGTAGCTGGTCACTTTAAAGTAGCTGCTGTCCAAATCAGCCAAGCCTGGCGGCCTGGAGTATGTGGATCTAAGCATCCCCGCCCCCCCCCTCAGATGCACCACCCTGAGGTTTAAGAGGTTTAAGGTTGATTGTTTCTTTACAAGATGTTGGACGGTTTTGGAGATTTTGCCTACCATGGCAAGAAACCGGATTTTGTACAGGTCTGCGGCTGCTGCTTCTCTCTGTTTGCGTTGTTGAGATGCTGGTCCCTCATGCAAGACACGCCGAACCTCTGAACCTTACCTCAACCCTTAACACCTACACCCTAAACAACCCCAATCTCAGTCCCACCTCCCAAGCCATAAACAACCCCGAACTCTAAACCCTCAAATTAACCCAAATCCTAAACTCTGAAATTGCTAAACAACACAACCCTATGGACCCTGAACTCTAAACAACACCAAACCCTGAGCTCTAAGCAACCCCAACCTTGAAACCTAAACAACCCCAAACACTAAACAGCCTAAACAACTCCAAACCTCAGACCATCAGCACCATACACCTCAAAACTCTTAGCAACTCCAAACTTGAAACCCTACAAACCTATAAACCCAAGCAACCCCGAAACCTAAACTACCCGAGACCCTGAACCCTGAAGAACCCTGAACCGTGCAAACCCTGAACAGCCCCCTAAAGATCAACAACAAAGATCAACAACCCCCCAAAAAAACTCAACAAACACAGATACCCCGGAGCCGGCCAGTCCCGGTCCGGGGAAGGTCCAGCTCCCAGGCTTGGATGCGGGTCCGGGTCTGGGTCCGGATGTGGGGGAGGGAGAGGCGGCAGGGGAAGGGGGGTCCGGATTGCGGCTTCTAGACCGACATGTATGAATCTCTCATGCGTGAATGTTGATGATGTGCAGCTGATTTGGTGCTGACAGTTGCTGAGGCCTCAAAGTGCTGGTATGCGCAGTAGCCTTAGCATCGAGTCTGCCGCTCAGAAGACAGTCTTCAGTTTGCACACTGTTTGGGTGGCAGACCCCACGTAGAGGATTGTGCGAAGGGAATGGAGGCCACTTCCTGAAACGGACACAAATGCTAGAGGTCATCTACGGCTTCCAAAACTCCATCCAACACTCCTTCTCGCTCAGCCAGGCGCAGAAATCACTGAGGTGGACGTCAGCGAGGCGCTCGCACTGGCCCTGTGCAGAAAGACGTCACACACTACACCTGCGTGTCTGATCACCGGCCCCCGGATATCCCCAGATGGCCTCCCAGGGTGTTCTTTGCACCTCGGATGGCTCCCATCTCTTGGCCAGGTGGAGGGTGGTCTTCGAGGCCGACACTGTAGAGACTGGGCCAAGCCGCACCGAAACCAAGCGTCGACCGTGCCTGGTTCAACAGCCAACCGCTGACCCCAAGGCTTGGCAGGTCTTATGGCTGGGTGCAACTCTCTAGGCCCCAGTAGGCCCCAGGCTCCTGGCTGAAGGCCTCATGTTGCAATGGCACAGCATGGCACAGGAACATTCTTACAGCACAAGATGATGCGAGCGCTGTTCCTCCAAACTTTCCCAGCGCAGCGCCGGCCAAGCGCAGTTCCTGATGCAAATCGCCGGAGGTGAAGGCAGGTGTCCAATTTGCAGCGGCGACCCCTTTTTTTCAGCTGTGCTTCATGAAGTCAGACTATGGACAAAGACTTAGCACGGCTGCATGACAGCAAGCACCTCAGCAAACAGCTCTAAAGAAGTCCACGCTCTGTGCCAGCACTACTTGAGGGAGCTGAGGTACCGTCTGCCAATTCGGCTTGAGCACTCATGACCATTGCTCAAGATGGTGCATTCATCGCACAAGGCCGGTCATATCATGTGTCTGTGATGCATTTGTGACCGGCTAGGCACCTGCACCGTTGTGAAACAAAGCCTCAAAGCTCATGAGTCAACGCCGGAAAGGCGAAGCAAAGCACCTGCTCGCTTTCATAGATGTAATGGGAAGTGGACTGTTTCATGTTCATAGCTCGGCATGTTCTCAGCATGGAACCAGCATTCATCTTGGTGATCATAGCATACAGCTGGGGGTTGACCTGCGTCGGAGTCTCGTGCTGTGAAGCGAGGTATTGGACTGCGCGCCTGGTCCAAATCATCTGCTGATTGATGATAATGTGGGTACCCCTCATCGTCGCCATGGATGGAAAGAACCTTTGCATGCCAACACAGCAACACTGATGGACAAAAGGCGTCGTTGTAAGTAGACGACACTGTGGATGCCCTTCTGAAGGAAGCTCATGTGATCAGATCCAAAAGGATTATTGCTGTGCCTCAGCTTCGGTATTGGAAGTCTCGGGCTTTTAAATCGTGTTGCACTGACTCTGACTCCCATCAAGTCAGCTCAAGTATGTCAGGTTTCATGCCCAAGCGTCGTCACTTTCAATCCCTCGCCATTGTGTGCCTTGCTGGCACCTGCAAGGTGGTCGAGGACGTCCTTCGCCCAGTCATAAGACCTTAGAATGCCCTTGCCACGTAACGTGAATCAATTAAGCTTCTTCCATCCAAGAAGCTCAAGATTGACAACCGGGCCTTGGGGGGCAAGTAGCAGAAAGCTACAGCCACAGCAAGAGATGGTGTAGAATGTCGATTGCAGACTCTGCAGTGCTTTCCGTTGAGGCTGGCACCCGTGCTCTGCTTGATATTCGTGCTGCGCCATGCGATCTCGTCCATGACCAGCGCCTTGCAAGGAGAATGAACTCTTGTTGATGACGCAAAAGTTGCTTCACTGGCCTGATGTCGAGCTTTGCTTCGGCCCGCAGGCTTTGCCGGTGTGTTCACCTTCAAGTTGAAAGCTTCAAGGCTCGCCTGGGAGGAAGTTCATTAGCCTCCAGAATCGACGGGACAGCACCGGTACCGCAAAGCCTCGGCTCCAGTGTTAAGCGACTCCAAATGTAGACAGCTAGGACGGCTATGAAGGCAGAACATGAAAGCTCTGCCTCGTGAATAGCCGCTTGCTTGCATTTGAACCAGCCTGCNNAGAAAAAAAAAAAAGCAAGCTCAAAGAGATCTGGAGAACAGGGTGGAACCAGCATGGCCTCTGCAAAGCTGGTAGCAGCTCCCGACTCTGTCAGGCGAGTGGCGTACTCCTGCCATTGAGAAGCCAACCTACGGTTGTTACTCCCGCATCCACCCGTCCTCAGATCCAAGCAGGCCAGGCTCTTCTGCAGCAAACGCTGCAAAGAAGATGGTTTTCCGTGGCTTGACCTGGCCAATCTCTGATCACCCAACAAGCTTCAAAAATTGTCAACTTCCGCAACATTTCGGCAGCATGCAGGGTATTTTTCTTTTGCAGACCGCGCAGTGGCGGGTATAATGGGAAGACGCACCTACCCGCGCAGGGTTCCTCCAAGTTGGAGTCGCAATTCCAACGCTAGATATGATGCTCTCACATGATCTCGCCCTCCGCGTCATCCTCAAGTCATTCCACAAGCAGCCGCTTTTCAATTTGCCGAGATAGGGGCATGATGCCTTCCATGCCCAGATCTATCCGAATCTTTCACTGCGGTTGGGAGTCGTTGTCACTGATGAGGCCAGCTTCCCGAGCTTCTTTGGCCAGCTTTGGAGGAAGTTCACCTCAGTAGAGCTGCTGCGGCCAGGGTGAGGAAGGTTTTCACATGTCACATGCCGCTAGACCCGCTCTTCCGTCCGCACCTCCTTTACGGGCTTCATCAACGCGAGCCACCAGCTCTGCCAGCTTGACGAAGCTTGGAAATCCTGGAGAGTCCTCACTTCCAAGCTGACTTGGCGTGAAGCCGTTCGAGGCTAGCAAACAGGCTGTGCATCAGCAACCTGTTGCGCCATTGGCAGAATTGTTATTAGATCCAGGCAAGCAGCAACCACTCGAAGAGTGCGGATCTCTTTCAAGGGTACTTCTGTGTAGACGAAAGGGTCCACGTCTGACACGTTTTCACCATGCCTAGGTTCTGCAGCTCTGTTGCATTGTACAGATTGAATGTCAACAGCTCATACTAGACAGTCTAGTAAACGTGAAGAGCTGACTCTGGAAACAAGTGGCTGCCATGCGAGAGCGTGCTGGAATGGGGCTGGAACACACTACCAAAACCAGTGACACACCGGAAATGCCAACAGAAGTTCCCTTCAAACAACGAGGAAAGAGTCCTTGGTTGATCCAGGCACCTAGCACATATAGACCCCAGCCCACGATTCTTGTGGCCGTGGGCTTGAAATTATGACCTACTACCGCAAGCCTCAGCCAAGCCTTCGTCATCTTGGAAGGGCCGTATGTGTTTACCGTCTTACAGCTGATCAATCAGAGGGGGGATCACAAACGATCGACTGCGACCAAGGTACTGAACATGCAGGCAAACGCCAAACTCATCAGGCCTCAGTCTCTGGGGCGGTGGATGCAGCGATCAATGACCATCAAGGATTTACCAGTGAAGAGCGTGCGGCACATGCAAAGTCAAGTCACAGCAACGCGACACTGCGCGCACCAAGCTTGTCCTTGCTTCCGTCCGGAAAGTAAACAAGCGCTGCAGTTGTTTGCATGAACTTAAAGCATGCCCGGAATGTTAATCTTTCAAATCCGACAAAGTAAGCGCCAAGAGTCCATGAGCTGCGTGCACCATTCGTAGTCTTCTCCAAGGTTCTGGGCGGGAAATGGATGCTTCAAGGCAACTTCCCTGTTGTAGATCAAGGTGAAGCCAAACCTTAGGGTGCACTTGAGACTTCTTACACAGGCATCACTTGTAGCTGATATCCAGTTGGGCGCGGTCCTGGCAGCTGACCCCTTCTGACGCCATCTCATCTGTGGCCCCCACGAATACAGCCCTGTCTTGACAATCGGCGTTTTTCTGCTCAGGTGACCTCGGTACTTTTCACGCAGAGGAAAAACGAGCAGGGGCAAACGGCTCAGAGGCCATGACGTTTCCGCCCCAGTCGAGCGGCATCACAAAATCCAAAGGCACCGGCCTACAACTGCCAACTCCCCCAAAATCCGTGCACCGGTGTAAGAACACGGACCTCTGCATTCCCAACATACCAACTTGAGAGCTTCAGAGCGGCAGCACCCTCGAAGTGGCTCATCCTGGGCCACAGAGGTGCCCCCCCCCCCCCACAAAAGAACGCCTTTTTGAATTTTCGTTGTCTTTGTGAGCTCCCGCTTGTTGCGCCTCGTCGCCATGAAGGCCAAATATCCTCTCACCCGATGCAGTACTTGACAAAGTTGCGGAAACGGAAGCTGCTAAGTCAAATGATTTCGAAGAACTTTCTGGCCTGGTGCATAGAGGTCGTCATCATCGAGATGGGCCACGAGCTCGCCGCTCGCAGCATGAATGCCAATATTCCTAGCCCAGCGTCTGTTGCAGCTCTGTGATTGAAGGCACGGTAAGCTCATTGAAGGTTTTGGGAGCCCACCTCTTTACGCCTATGGACAGGTCATCGCCAGGAAGTCGCTGCAAACCTCAGATCCCTTAACATACTCAAACCATGGTTGCAAGCCAACATGCAATCTTCCATGATCAGGACTTGGGCAAAGCATTCTGAGCACGTCCGAGGAACTAATGACCTTCATGTTGCTAGTCCATGCGGCCTTGCCAGAGAGGAAGGAACTTGGCTCGTCTTCGTAGGTCTCAACGACAATCAGCTCCTACCAAAATTCTGCACAGCTTCAGAGGGCGGGCTGCACTGCGTTTTTTCATGTCATTGCTGTCCTTATCGTCCCAGACTTGACACTGAAAGTTCCAGAACAGCAGTTCGTGAAATCGCTGCCTGTCCTGGAAGAAATTTTGCAGGGGAAGTAAAAATAGCAAGCACGAAAAGCGACAGAAAGCTGAAGTGGCGAGTGGCGCCCATTGTGACGGTCACCACGGAAACTCGGCCTGGCTGGCCTTCCTCAGCAAAGTGGCACGACAGCACTTGTCTGCAACAAACAAGCAAGGCTTTTGCTTTGGCAGGGCCAAGCGTCTTTTGCACGAACGTACTGCCAATTGCCAGCTGCCGGTTCTCTAGGGTGGAAATCGCCTTGCCAGCTTGATGTGATGTCCAACACTTGAACTGCCTGCAAACATGGCTCCAAAAAATGCCGAAGGGCCATCTGTGTAAAACCACAAATCACATTCTCGCTCGTCCCAGTCGAGCGCTTCCTTCACGAACTGTGAACATGACAAGCTACTCCGCCGGAGTGCAGGGATAGTAGCAAAAGCCCGTGGCAAATGCTGCAAAGCTAGTGCAACCCATTACGACACAAATACGGCCTCGGGTAACTGCACGCAGCGCTTTCTTCCAGTGCTCTGGCAAAACCTGGGTTGCTGTTCAGGAACTTAAACTAAATTGCCATAATGTGGGTATACAATAAAGAAGAGGGTTTCCTTTTTATATAACCTTAATGCAAGTTCCTTAACACCCTATGAAATACTATATAAATATATACACACCCTATACATATCAGCTTAATGTAAGTTCCTGAACAGATAAACCCAGAATATAGTAACCCTAAACTGAGCGAGCTCGTCGAGCAGGGCGAACGCACCGAAGCCGACGAGCGAGGTAGCTCCGGAGCCAAACGCCTTCCGGCTTGCGCGGTGGACCCGGCAGGTCGCTGGCGAGTAACCCAGAATAAGGAACCTCAAACCTTCCCCCGAATCGATGCGTCCCTCTCTTTGGTTTTTTCAGGTGGGCCTCCCAGGCTGCCCTGAAGGGGCCTCCCAGCACTTCCCAAGAACTCCCAAGGCCTCCCAAGCCCTCGGCTTCCAGAACCATAGCTCCCAGAGTTTCAAACTTTTTCAAGACCTTCTCAAGGGGCTTTAGGGCGTCCAGGGCCTCCCATCTAAAGAAAACTAGAGGCCTCGAGCCAGACCCAAACCCAAACCTTGCACCCGTCTAGGTCCAACTGGTTCAAGGTTCAAAGTCCAGGCGAGGCCGAATCTCAATAAGCACAAGAATCCTCGAGCCAGGCCCAGCCCACCCACCTGGTCTAGACAGGTCCATTTGTTCGAGATTGGAAGCATCCAACCAGGGCTCCATCTGAAGAAGACTAGAGGCCTCAGGTCTAACTGGTTCAAGGCTCGAAGGTCAATCTCAATAGGGACGAAGCCGGTAGCTCCAGAGCCAAAAGCCCTCCGGCTGCCTCACAGGCAGCTGTGGGCTGCGCGGTGGACTTGGCAGGTCGCTGGCGAGTAACCCGGCAGGTCGTGCTTACAACCTTTGTCCGAGTCGATGCATCCCTTGCTTTGGTTTTTTTCAGGTGGCCCCTCCCCCCCCTCCCGACCTCCCAAAATTCAAGAGAAAGTGTTGATTACGGATTCAGAACTTTGTGGCGTTCTCAGTGTTTTTGGGAGGGTCTCCCCTAGGCCTCCTCCCTCTAGTCCGCCCCCCCCCCCTCCTCCGGGAGACCCTCGGCCGCTCCCAGGGCGCCCTGAAGCTCTCTTTGCCAGCGAGGGGGGGTAATGGCTCGAAAAGCTTCCGCGCAAAACCAAGAATTCCAGGGGCCTTCCAGGCTTCCCAAACCCTCCCAGACCCTCCCAGCCCCTCGGGACCCTCCTCCAAGGCTTAAGGTCCAGACCCACCATAGCTCCTAGTCATGCCTAGGTCAAGGCTCGAAGGCCTCCAGGCAAGGCTCAATCTCAAAGCCTCGAGCCAGACCAGCCCAAACCTTGCACCCGCTTGGTCTAGACAGGTACAAACACAGGACAAATAGGAAGACAGGAGCGCGATCAGAGTTCGAGAGAACCCTAAACCGGTAGCGCCAGCGAGGGCGTGCTAATGCGGTCAGGGTGCGCGCCTGGGTGCTTCCAGCACCAGCGCACCCCCTCACTGAGACATCCTGCACCCTAAACTTTAAACCCCAAATAGTATAGTGACTTAATGTACATTCCTTAACAGCCTTAAAAGCCAAACCCAGAAACCGGTCAGCTTTCTCCAGGAGGGACATCGGCGACCATCGGCCCAGGAGGGAGCGACTCGCTGAGCCGCTTGGCAACGTCCAACCAGCTGATCACCAAAATGTACTATAGTTTATTTAGGGGTTTGGTATTTTTTACCAGCTCCTTTTTCAGACTGCCTGTTGGTTTAGGGTTTAGGGTTTAGGGTTTAGGGTTTAGGGTTTCGGGTCAGGGGAACTTAGTAAGTAGGTTTATACTGGGGATAATTGGGGTTATTATATGGCTTATGGGGCTATTAACCTACTCACTGAGTCCCCCTGACCGTCCAAGTATTATCCCATCATATGCTGTAGTATATTGTAATCCATCATATATGCTCACATATTTTGTTGTATACATTATACTCTACTAGAGCTATCATATGTATAGTCTACTTACAACCTACTAGATATACATATATATGTGGTAGTATATTATAATCTACTAGAATGATTGCAAACCTATCGGATGGTCATTTGCATCATGCATGGCACCTGGGCATCAGCTAGCGCCTTTGCAATAGACAGCACCTAGGTGAATGAGCTCAGCTCACGCAGGCTCACTGCTGAACGCGCCAAGGGCAGCACTGCCGAAGCGCCACTTCCATTGTCGACTGCGCCAGGCGCCAGGCCCTGAGCGAGCCATTCAATAACCCCTCTAGTATAGAAAGGTAAAAAATCCAAGCTGGAGGATACCCTCAAGCCCACAAATACAACAGCAAATATTCAAAGGGCTCAAAAGGTGGGATGAAGGAAGGTGGGGTATAGGAAATAAGCCCCAATATAGTAGAGTATATACTAAGGATCCTTTAAACTACCTACCTTCATCCCACCCTTTTGAACCCCCTGAAATATGCAATCCATGAAGATAAATGAGAATGGCAGCAAGTCCACTTTTTGCGTTGGAAAAGCCATGGGACTAACTTTACATGGCCTCGAAGGGGCGGGAGTCGTAGTGGCCCCCTAGGGTCACCGAGCCCGCCGCGGCATCGCTACCCTAACACACACAATCCTTCTCCTGTCTTGCAAGCATGTCCAAGATAGCGCGCCTGAAGGCTAGCGATGACAGATGTCTGCTCTCCAAACTGCTGCTTGCACACAGAGTAGCCCATCTCCTGCGAGAGGGAAACGTGTTGAACCACAGAACATTAAGGGCAAGAACTGCTCGGGCTCTGTAGCCTTGAACTTCCTTTCCAGAAAGCTGACTGCGTTAGCAGACGCTGCAGGATTGGAGTAGCTCCTTGGGGCATGGTTTGCAAAAAGCGCTGCGCAAGCCCTGGAATACATTGAAGCTGCATCCAGGTGTCCGTGTTTGCGTGGCTCCATCGCCAAGCGCCACCAGCTCCTTCAGGGATCAAGTTATCTGCAATCACCTCAAGCTTGGCTGCGCTGGATCCTTCAGCTGGCTCATGGTTGAGCTTGGCGTTATGGAGTCGACCACCTCAGCTGCAAGGGCTTACCATAAAAATCCGCGCTTGGTTCAAGCTCATGCGCACCTTTTTCTCCAGCCGCTCGCCTGCTGGCGACAGACCAGAGGTGTACTCCTGTCACACAGCGACTTGACTGAGCAGGTCCACTCTCAGTGAAGCTGGGGGACCAAAATGTCTCTGTGCCTCCGACAAGGAGTACGTCCTTGCATCCCACATGACACCAGTACAAGATTCGCCAAACACAGACCTATGCTCGCAGAGTCTACCTCTCTGCCACATGCAACTCAGCTGCGGGAAAAGCCGCGCATCTGACAGCACCTGCAGCACCAGCAAAAGATGCAGTGGCAAGGTGAAGAACCCAGAGCAGCAGGTTGGGCACTGGGGTATCTGGGGTTGCCGCATCCTTATGGTTCAGCTGTACCTCGCGTGCAGCGAGGGTGAGCATGCGCCACAGGCAAGTTCAACAAAGCCGATGAAAAGGGTTCCTTGCTGCTGACTCGGCACAAGAGCGCTAACAGAATCCCGGCGTCCTGCCACCTTTGGCAGCTGCGTGGCCAAAGAATCCTTTCCCTGCCAGACTGAGCAGCATCCGCTCAAGTAAATCACTTTCTGAACTACAAAATCTCTGGCCTCTGGGAGGTGGAAGATGTGCAGGCGCCCAGCACCACCCACGCGCTTCTCGTGGAGCTCCTCTGTCAGTGCCCCATGCGAGCCTCAGTATGTGGAGGTTTCACGCAGCTTTCCAGAGCCACCCTGCACTGGGGAAGAAGCCATATGCGTAGTAGTAATCCCCCACGTTGGAGCTAAGGCCACTCTCCGTGCCAGGAGTGTGCACGAGGTGATCGCCCACCTGCGAAATGCTCGGCATAGAGAGCATGAGTCACACACGTCTCAGCTTTGGAACCTTGGCCCACCATGTGCCCTCACCCAACGAGGATGCCGCAGTGGGGTGAATCCGCGGTAGTTGAGCAGCGCTTGCAACTGCTGCTAGCAGCAGCACTCGCGCTGCGGGGGAGGCCATGGAGAATAACCTGACGTCACGCTTCCCTGCGACTGCGAAGGCTCTGCTTTCATCTACACAAGCCAAGCAACGCAAAGGAGACCAGGACTAGATCGTGGCGTCAGGTAATCGCTTCCTGAAGTGATTCATTCGATACTGTTGGTGCAACACATGTAGAAATATCGCATTCTCTTGGCTTGGTGAAGCGCTGCCTGCACGGAACAAGTGCTGGGCTCCCTGCGGGAACGTGATGGTCCGGACACAGGAAGCGTCCGCTTGAGCCACGTGACTCCCCTACAAAGCAGAAACCCATCAACCTTGCGTGCATTCCTTCTATACTGGCATGTCCAAAATCTGTAATTAAGCAGACAGCTCCAGTGAACACAAAAGCAGCGGGAGACCGCGTAGCAACGGCACGCCTCAATGCCCCCCTGAGTACCAAGGGCTCCTGCAGCTGGGCCAAGGGCACTGGGCCTCATCTGCATCATCTGCAGTTGGCAGGAAGCAGACTGTTGGGAACACTGTGTTGGGAACACTATAAGGCACCGGCAACCACCTGACCCGTCTACTTCGACTGCTGAACTGTATGCCAATCCCTGGCCGCTCGACATTGCCGCAAGCACCGGCCACTGCTTTAGCAAAACAATGCGGTGAAGACTGAATTTTGGAAACACACTAGACATGCACCAGTGTCTGACTTTCTGTCGTACGTCGTGTGGGAGACAGGTTGCATAGCATTTCTACTCTCGGCTCACTCTTGCAAACAGCCATGGCGTGGTGGTTGAAACATGTTGCAAACATGTCCAGGGGTGGATGTCTGTCGGCCTTTTTTGGTCACCACCATGCCGACTTGGGCTGCAGTGGAGAGAAAAGAAGAGTGTACGTAAGGAGCCTCTGTCAAAGCGAGCATAGGCATCGCGAGCTCCCACGGACAAAGCGGTCAAAAGCTGACTCCAAACCTCTGGCATGGAATGCTAGACTAAGTGTCAACGGGTGGAGGCCGCCAGGGTCCTCCTCCAGAGACCCCTGGGCAAGCCTCACTTAACCCAAAACTGCAAGCAACTGGAAACCTCATTTGGGGCACCATCCAACGAAACTGGAAGCCATGTTTCGAATGAAAGTGGAAAACTTCTCAAGAGTCAAGATTCAGAGCCGGGGCTCTCAGAAAGCCGTTCCTGAAGCGCCATACACACCAGAGTACGGCAGCTTACTGGATTCTGAACCGGTGCCTGCAAGGCCTTTGTGGTCTCCATAGGACTCAGTCCTGGCCTTTTTGGCGGAAGGCATGTTGCCACCTTTGTGCAACTGCATGTCTGAGGGGCTACTTGCTCGTGACCAAAGCACACACTGGAAGGCCCAAGCCCTCTCTGTCCGCAAAGCGGGTGACAAGGCCGTCGCAGTTGATGCCTGTCATGGCCTGCCAAACATCAGCGAGGCTTCACATTTCACATGTTTTGCAGCTTGCGTGAATGTGACAGGTGTGGAAAGGGCTGCAATGCCCGCTGCCCTAACTACTACACAAGTTCCTTTGTTGTCCCTTCGGCATGTTGCCTCACCCAGGTCCTCCGAAACCTCAGCGATGACCTGGCGGAACCATGACTGGAATGAATCCGGTGCTATGCGAAAGGGTGCCTGAGGATCGTTGTAGTGGGTAACAGCCTCTTGCAAAGCAAACTGTGCTCGGCTTTTGTGCCAAGGTTTCGTCTGCCTTGCCTTGACGATGGCACGAGCACGCTTAGCAGGATCGGCCGACTTAAAGATGCCGCTTCCCACCTCAGGAAATTTAGCTGGATCGAAACCGCCACTGGTACTGACACCAACTGCAGCTACTTTCAGGACATTAATGGTGCTAGCGCATTTATCCAATTTCAGACCGGTCTGTGTCACTCTGCAGCGGATTGGCAGCATTTTTTTGTTTCAGAGGCCTTTAAAGTTTTGGAGTGCCGGCGAGAAATTTGCGCGGTAGTTGGGCCAATGGCTTGATTGAGTGTGGAAATTGAACACTCTGCTTCCGTCATAACCATCGATGTGAAACCTGCACCCTTGAAACAGGAAATCACAACAGGAACCGGGGGCCGAAATGACAAATACATTGCTTGGAGCTGAGACCCTAAAGGGCGCAGTCCATTGGCCTGCTCCGGAAAAGAAGGTGCAGGCAACGTGCTTGGAGCAGTCACGTGGCAGCAGAAGGCCAGGGAATACCCTCTCAACACAAGCATTCAAACACCATCAGCAAGCTAGAGAGAAGCCTCTTAAAGGCCGTGAGCATTGCGGTCATTCTGCATATCCTGTGGCAAGTAGTAACTCCTGCGCAGCGACAAATTTAAAACGGCTTCTGCTGTGCCAGCTCATTCTCACCCCACCCCTGCTCATCTCATACCAGTAGCCATCTTCACATTCCCAGACACGCTGATGTGATTTCTGCGCAGCTTGCGCCATCCTGTTGGGCCTTCTTGACGAGGAGACATGACAGGATTCAATTCAACAGGACAGCAACCTAGGCTGACGAAAGACCGCACGGAATCAGGACCATAGCAAGGAATGACCCAAACTGCAGTGCACATATGCACATCCACATGCTCAAGCTTGAGCACTGGCAATCTGAGATTTGGACGAATACCCCATCAACACCAAGTTGCATGCCTGCTGCTCAGTGCAATGTCGTGTAACATCCTATTGCTCTCGGCTGATGCATGCACACACATTTTGCCATGGTGCACAGGGCCGCATCTGCTGGAGTAGCAACACCCCCGGCTGCGAAGTTCACCACCTTGCTTGGCATTGTCACATGTAGACAGCTGGTAAATTACCGTGTTGATTTAGGGAACGAGTGTGCAATCCAGCTTTGCAACATGCGAAACCCTAGGCTGCATGAGCTGCCAGCTGGCAACTTTCCAGTCTTCTTGACCTGCCGCACTGGATCATGACCGCCCTCTTTTTCTGCCTATCACAGCTGCCTGCTGCAGAAGATCAATGGGAGCGCCAATCTCCTCCGGATGACTGCACTTCTTTTGCCGCAGCTCAGATGATCAAAAGCAGGATTATTTGACCGGCAACCCATGGCAAGCTGCAGAAGGACAATCGGACATCCCTTGATGGTTGGTGGCTGATGACCTGCATAAAAAAACAGCGTCAGGAGATCTAGAAAATGCAGAAAGGAAGGTGAATAGGATTTGTGGTGAGAAAAGCGCGTAGTGAGAAGGAGAAGGTATAGGACGTAGAAGAGGAGGAGGTTGCTGCAAGCGTGCAAATGCGAGAGATGATGACGCAAAAACGAAACATGCTATAAAAAGCCATGGACAACGGTGATTGACGTCAGTGCCGATGACGAACATGATGGCGATGCTGCTGCTGCTGCTGATGATGATGCTTATGATGATGATAACGATAATGTCCTTCGGTCACGAGCAGCAGGAAATTTGCTATGCATGCTTCTCATCGTTGCTATAGACAGCCAAGCGCAAATTGCCGCTTCCGCTCGCTTATCTGTGGCTTTCGCGACCTGTGCTTTCCATCCACTATGCGTTGAATCAAGCACAGCCACGTAGTAAGACCATTGCAGAATGCTTGGTAGGTGGGGTTGGAACATCATACATGGCATGCTCGGCCTGCAATCCTCGGTAAAGCGAGTGCCGGCCATGTCGGGGCAATGAGCCCTTCCGTAAACTTGGCAGAGCAACACTGGCAAGCGCTGATGTTGAAAGGATGGCTAAGCAGCAGGAAAGTGATGACTCTTGGAACGTCATCACCAGCAACATTGCTTTCGTGTTGCTCGCTTCCACTAGATAGACTGTGTATGACGGTGCTGAGGTTGAGCTCGACATGATTTGCAACGAACTGCCATGTCTAGCTGGTAACGATGATGATTCCACGAACCCTGTCTTGTATCAATTCTTCCGATACTAGCGAGCCTTGAATGTCCAGCCCCACTTTCCTTACAAAACTAGTTTATTTGAAGGTTTCAATCCAGCCTACCTCGAAACACTTTCTGGTCGTAACACCGACTAGAAAGAAACAGCAACGATAAAAAGTAATGCAAGAACCACGACAAGCAAACGGACAAAGATGCGTCACATGATGAATGACCACTATCACGGGGTAGATGGTTTTTGTGCTCGATTGCTGTCGGTGAGCCTTTCTGTTAGATTGATTTACCGTCAGAGCAGCACCTGGCAATGATGCCAAAACACACAATCAGCACATATAGGGATGTCGAGTTTCATGTTCAACCGAATGCCTGGCTCCAACATGGCAACTCCCTTACAGGTGGCCTTTTGGCCTCTTGGTGCAAGCATCCTCAAAAGAACTCAAAAGAATGCGACCACCGGTGGCTTTGGTTCGGAATCTAATTTTCGAGCTCTTGAAGCTTTGGGTTCTTGCGAAAGCCCCAGAAACCCATTTTCAAGTTTTTGGGAATGTGAGAACTCCAAAACAACAATTCGTAGTAGGTGTTCATTTTGGTTTCAGAATCCTCGAACCAATGGTGACTACCAGGGCTTTGGCCGGGAAGTAAATACGGGGGAAGGAGTCTAACAA